AAAAAATCATAATTCTAGTGTAAACGATGTTATCATTACCCCCTTGAAGTTAGCTTTCTTACAGAAATTTTGTGTTCCTTTAAAAAGCTTAAGCATGGGGTGAAACAGGAATTACCAACCAATAATAGACAAACAATAAATATTACAGTTGGAGCCTCATTGTATTTAGAACTTCGTTATAAATACAACCTTCCTATGTCTATTGAAACACTGCATTAAAAAACAAGCAAACAAGTAAATAAAAAACTTTTCAAAAAAGGAAGTAAATGTAGGGATGGCTAATATCAATACTTCAAAAACAATGCAAACAAGATAGCGGGGATGCCATTTGCATCATCCTTACATAATAGCAAAGGAACGATTTAACAATTTGTGCAATATATATATAACAATTCAATCACAACTAAGTTTAATTTATCCTAGTTTTGTCTGTTAACATTTTATTACACCCATAAAAGAAATTAATAGAAGAAGGGAAATAAGTTTGATATTCCAGTGTTTTCTTATTCGTATCCATAGGTGAGTCTTATTAATGTTTTGGTTATATTATTATATATGTATATACAGTAGTAATAATAATAATTATATTTATTATTTAACCACATCAATGTTCCTCTAATGATATTCAAACATGCATTGTAATAAAGAATTGTACCACTTAATGTTTAGAGGTAGTAGGTAATTCCATTTGTATCAGAACTAAAACCAGGATTTGGAACCTGGCTAAATGTTAGTTTAGGATGATTTTGTGATTTTTATATTTTATTTATTTACTGTGTTACATACAGATCAGTACTTATAATACACGATATTTTGAAAATTGTATTGTTTAACACGGTCTTAAATTAAAAAACAAACATATATTTATTTTATGCTAAATTCCCTAATTTATATAAGCTCATATTTCTGTCTTGTTACTTAAGTTTCGTAATTTGGGTTAAATTAACAATTTTTTTTCAGCTTTTAATTGTTGTAGCACATAATTAAGTATTTTTGACATATTTAAAAAGTTTATGTTTTTGACTTCAGGTAAAAAAAACAAAATTTAATTCTCCGACGTTTCGGTTTTACACCTTTATCAAGAAGCTGGAGTACAGGGCTCCAACCTGAAAAGTTTGAAATTATAAACGCAAATTCGGGGAATAATGTTTTGTTCTGTCCGAAATCAAAGATCGTGAACATTTTAATCAAGTAATATCTTTTGTTTAATTAGAGTTTTTGATCCCTTTGAAGGACAAACAATGTTGGTAGATTACCTCTCGTAACACGATTAAAAAGGTTAATAACCAAGCAATTATATAAGCAACGTACGCCATCTATTGTTTAAAACGTTAATTTATCATTAGAATTAAGTTCAACTGCACTAACACCTGTAAGTAGGATTTCGTATTCAAATTATTAAATGCTTTGATAGATCTTAGTACTGTACCCCAAGTTCCGAAATTAAAAGGTGTTCAGAATCCGAAATGAAGGAAGTTAATGCGAATATAACAGCTTCCTCGACAGTTTCCTCTTTGTACTCGTTTATCAAATGGTCGTTCTCTTAGACGTGATAGTGTACTGCGGATGTGGTATTCACTTTATATATTTGCTGTTATTTGAGTGTTATCTGAATGTCTATTTAACTCATCATTACTCTGCTTACTGCTTAACTTCACGTTGTGTACTACAAACAACGGACTCTATAAGTGAGTTAAATTTGGTTGACATATCACGTAATGTGGGAAGACTTTGATAAACCTGGTGTTAAACCTCCTTAATACTTCTTAGATGCCTCCCAGTCGTATGTCTGCGGACTTCTACAGCTAAAAACCGAGTTTCTATACCCGTGGTGGGCAGAGCACAGATAGCCCTTTGTGTAGCCTTGTGCCTAATAACAAACTTATTATATTTAATTTTTTCTTTCATTCCGGGTTTGACGGAGAATGAACAGCATGATAAATTTGATATCTTCCATAGTATGTTTTCTATTCATTACATGATAAAAACATTAAAGTTTTGAGCCTGCACTAAAATCCGCAAAGTAACGTATCACCAATGTTCAGTATACAATTTAATGACTAAGAAGGCAAAATAGGGGCCAAAAACTTGCAGGGAATGAACACAAGTTTTAACGTTGTTTAAAAACTCTTTAATGTAATTATTCTACCATCTTCCCAGTTTAAGTTTACAAATGAGATTAAAAGCTTGCGATAGTAATTCAAGCTGGGCTCGTATTTAAAACGGTGTTCAAAGTATACGTACCGATACCTTGTCGCACACTGTATTCCAATATCGTGGAATAAAATACTGCTTTATAACATTCTATAGTTTCTTTGACAGCTTTTTTTTGGCGTTGCACGTACAAGCAGCGTTTCGAATAGACTCTTATCTTTCGATCATTGTCCGGCGCAGCTGACGAGCTCTGATATGAAGCAAAGGCTTCCCTGGAGAGTGACTGGTGGGAGACAAAAGATAGATTATGAAGGCCATTTTATCATACTTTTCATCCAATATCTGTAGCGTAAAAGTTAAGAATGTAAAAAAGAGAGATAGAGAGAGAAAAAAAACATTGGCAATCCATTGTGATTTTTGGTACAAATATTAGAGCAGTTGTTATACTGATGTATTGTGTTATGCACTAATACTATATTGTTCTAAACTTTCAATGTTGTTTCAGACTATCTTCTATTGTTGTTGTAGGCTGTATTCCAGTATTATTGTTGATTCATGCTCTACCTTACAACTGTTCAATAAACCTGGCCGTTTAATTGAAGTAAATATATTTCTTTTTTCTATTTTTCTGAACTTTCTTCTTTCATGGCTTTTTCTTGGAGAAATGGTTCCTTACCTGCAGCAACACCTAGTGAGTATTTGATTGAACAGGGTATCTACCGTTTGCACAATCGTAACCAAATATTATCGTGTAACATTAATGTGCATTTTTCTGATTTGGTTGCAGATGATAAGTCAAGTCCTATGATTTATTTTTTATTACTAACCAACTGTAAACTCTATTATAAAGTTAATTTGGTTAACAGTGTGTGGATAAAAAAAGAATGCATACATTTTTTCACTGGTATGCATCTCTAACTTAGAAAGCTCTCATTTCTGAAGCTTCTCTTTCTTTAAGGATTAAAACAAATGCATGAAATATTAAATCGAAAACCGAAATTAAGAAGCTCAGAAATGTGCATTTCGTATGTGTTTTGTCGTTCAAACTCAATTCAGTATTTTTCGTTTGAGATCAATTACATCTCGCATCATTACTATAACCCCTATTCTGAAAACATGTATATTTGATGTTGCATTTTGTTTGTGTGTTGTATGCATTTGCATTATATATTTTTTAAAACTTGGAACTAAATGGTTGAAAGAAATAAGCATGATTTTTTATTTTTACTTTATGTTAATTATTAATTATTTGAGTCGTATGTAAACGTTTGCTAAGTTTCTGTTCAATTGGTCTTGTTCGTGTGTAATATTGCACTAATAGCTGTGATGAGTAGATAATGATTAAAAAACACCTTGTTGTTGGTTTTAGAACTGGTAGTGTAATGATACTGAAATAAATTGCCCGTGGCCATGATGGGGTTGTGTTTGATTTGTTGACTAACTGCATGGGCCTGTGTTTCTCTTCTCCTGCTGCAGGAACAGGAACCAATGCCTGTTATGTGGACAAGGTGTCCAACTTGCCAGTTGACTCTGTTATTTCAGGAACAGGAACCAACTCTTGTTACATTGAGAAACTGGAAAACGTAGAACTGTGGAATGGAGACTACGAAGATCCCCGACAAGTGATAATCAACACTGAGTGGGGAGCGTTCGGAGATAACTCTTGTCTGGATTTTGTCCGAACGCGCTATGACAAAGAAGTCGATGAAAACTCACTCAACCCAGGAAATCAGCTGTAAGTTCTCTAAACAGTACCTTTTGGCGCCTTTTATGTGAACTAGAAATAAACGCATGATGTAAGTGTAGCTACGAACATCTGAGTGTTATACAAGATAACAACAATCGGTTAATGTCATATATTAATTACAAATATGCTACTATTTCGTGTGCTAACTACTAATATATTATTGTTACGAGTAGTGATACTAAAAAGCCCGTAGGATCGAAAAAAAATTTATATCACATTTGAAACAATTATCAGTGTTGGGTGTGTTAGATTCAACGCTAACTATATGTGTTCAAGTCAATTATTTTATTTTAGTTGTTGTGCTTTATCAGTGTTATGTATCTTAAATATCAAATATTATATCTCAGTAAAAGAAATGTGTTGAAAAACTAGTGAAAATATAATAATTAAACTGTATTACCTCTATACTTGAGAATATATTAAACTGATATAAAGCACGAACTGCTAACACCATTTATTTCTGATTCATAGTATGTAATGTTTACTAAGTTTCTTCCTTATTTGTATGTTCTAGCTGAGGATACCCGTTACGGAAGCAAAAATGTATAAAGTGCAATGTTAGATAATGATCCCCTTCCTTCGTTCTTTTGTTATTAAATTTCGAATTACCTCATTAGATGCTAATAGCATACTCTGCTTTCTGGAAGGAAATAATTGTATCATTTAATTGGTTAAGTATTTATGTCTTTAAATTCAAAGCCAAATTTCTTTTTAAAAAAAATGGAAATATGCTCTATTTTTTATCCATCTTCTTGGGCAAAAATCATAAGATATCATCTGACAGTGTCCAATTTATTAAGCCAAAAATTACGGTGATTGAGTCGGCCAGCTCTGGGTGATACTAACAGACATATGCATACACACACATAATGGATCATATAGTAAGTTATATAATCCCTACAGTCTACTGGACTTCCTCATTTACTGTACCTAATACTTACTGAATTCCTTTTCTGATCTAAAGCCCTACTTTTTACTGAATTCCTTTTCTGATCTAAAGCCCTACTTTTTACTGAATTCCTTCTCTGATCTAAAGCCCTACTTTTTACTGAATTCCTTTTCTGATCTAAAGCCCTACTTTTTACTGAATTACTTCCTGAGTTAAATATATTCAACTTTCAAGTTCATAATATTGTGTGGTACCTTCAATTTCATCATGTAATTCTTAAGAACGAGAAATAATTTTCAGTAATTTCATATAATCTAAAATATAAATGCTAATTATGGTTAATATTTTTGTTTTTACTGGAAACTATAAGATTGTATATCTTTATATGATGCAAACTTTGCTACTTGGTGACTGACACTCTTTCACTACTTTCACTTGTGATATATTTTTTCTGTGCTTACTGTTCACTTTATAACGAAGTAAATTGTTAATACCATAGTTAAACTAGTAGATTTGCTCTACTCAGATTCGAGAAGATGATATCTGGAATGTACATGGGAGAACTAGTTCGTCGCTGTTTAGTGCACCTGACGGAAGAGGGACTTTTCTTTGGTGGACAAGGCTCACAGAAACTTTACGAAATGTATGCCTTCAAGACAAAATATGTCTCAATGATTGAAAGGTGAGTGTGTGTGTTTGTTTATTGATACTTTAATTCCTTTTTCGTTTTTAAGTAAAAATGAGGTGCTTTGTTTCTAAACATTAAAACTGCTTTGTTTACTGTAAATCGCAAAGCTGCACAATGGCTTATTTGCCTAACCAGGGATCGAATCCGGAACTTCAGTATTATAACTCCTTAAATTTACCATTGAGCCAGGAGAGGGAACTTTACTAACAAACCTCACAAAACAGGTTCCTTATCATAGTAATCAATTTATTTATCGGTATACATCAAATTTTTTTTTATATATAATTGTGGAAACACGAAGCAACACACTATAAATCTTACTAAGAGCAACATAATGTAAAATCCAACTGTATCTCAATCGGGATCAAAAAGATAGTAATTTTATTAATAATAACTGGTATGAATTGGTTCCAAGGGAATGATCAAACAAATTTCCTAATCACCCCATAGAATTCCAAAGAATTAATACACTTTAAAAAGTATTCTGCTTATAATTATTATATAGAGAGAGAGAGATTGTTTATTTCCGTTATGAACCAGGTTTCGATACCCGTCGTGGGCAGAGTATAGATAGCTTTATGTTTATCTACAAACAAACAAATAGTTTTCTGTTGAGGGGCTTTGTTGTACTTACCTTATGCCATTTACGTGTCCTCAAAGTATATACTGAGTTTGATAGAACTACACGCAGAGGATAGATGAATAACTATAAAAAGTATTTAACTTCTGAATCTTGTGTATTGAGTTATTTGATTGTTTGTTTCGTAATTTCGTGCAAAGCTAAAGAAGGATTATCTGCGAGTAACAGTCCCTAATTTTGAACTGATAGACAACAGTACCCAGCACCAACTCTTGGGCCACTCGGATTCACAGTCCAGCTACTCTAAACACTGACCACTCCCAACACATTTAAATATATTTCCGAGTTGATATTTTATCGTTATTTAATATGTTAAATAAATGGACATCTTAGGATCGAGTAAACCGTGCGCAACTATTCATTTCTAGACTTTAAAACAAAGATTAGAATTATTTATTCTCTTATTTTCTAAATATATTTCAATACGATAGAAGTAACAAAAAACGTAAATTTTGCTAGCATTATTAAAGTTTAAGCTAATGTTTTTTTTTTAAGTTTACATGGTTTAAAAATCTGAAAATGGCATTTTCGGAAAGTGTTACTAATGTAAATAGTGTAAAATGCTGTAGCAGTAGCAGACAACTGTGTCGACAGTTCGTACACTGATAATTTTCAAAAGTCATTTTCAATAATATATTAAATGACAGTCATTGTATAAGCATTTATAGCTTTTACTTGCAATATCTTTTTATATAATTTTGTATTTCATCTTCCTCAGAGAAGGGTAAATTTTTTTATATAAATTTTGTATTTCATCTTCACCAGAGAAGGGTAAAGTTTTGTTAATATAATTTTGTATTTCATCTTCCTCAGAGAGTTAAATTTTTTAAATATAATTTTGTATTTCATCTTCCTCAGAGAAGGGTAAATTTTTTTAATATAATTTTTGTATTTCATCTTCATCAGAGAAGGGTAAATTTTTTAATATAATTTGGTATTTCATCTTCCTCAGAGAAGGGTAAATATTTGGCTCTTGATCTTGGAGGTACTAACTTTCGTATCTTACTGATTGAACTGGATGAAGATGATTTCAACATGAAAAATGATGTCTTTGAAATTCCAGAAAAAATAATGATTGGTACAGGAGCTGAGGTAAGAAGGCATTACAGCCTAAAGTTATCACGAATTAATAAACTCATGTGATTCTTTTTTTCTTTTTTCATTACAAATGAAGAAATTTATTGTTATCTTTTGTTCTCGTTTTTCATAGCCATTATGAGAATCCATCTTGCTCTCTTTTTATGAAGCTCTAAATATATCTTAGGGCACTTTTCAGTAGATAATTGAATTATCTTATCTTAAACTTAAGGTCCTTTACCATTTCCTAAGTTGATTAATTTGTCACTGAACTGTGCATAGACATTAATTTCTAGGTTTTAAGTAAAGTAAACATTTACGATTTTTATCCACCAGCCCAAACTTCATTTTACTTTATTTACAAGATAATTAGTATGACGTAAGTAACGAAAAACAACAATTTTGCTAACATAATATAATTATGAAATTTGTTTTATAAGTTTCCTCAGAAACAAAAAATGTTACGCTATCTATTGCTTTTTAGCCGCAACATAGTGGTTCATTGAATGGCTCCGGTCATCTCTTGACCAGTTTCAAATCTAATTACAGTTTTGAACTCAGGAGGTCAAACCCTCTCGACTGCTTGTTTGACCACGCCTCAGGTCTCATATATTAATTTACTCTAATCCTACCCAAAAGTTTGGTTTGGTTTGAATTTCGCGCAAACTCCACGATGGCTATCTGCGCTAGCCGTCTCTAATTTATCCGTGTAAGACCAGAGGGAAGGCAACTAGCTATCATCACCCACCGCCAACTCTTGGGCTACTCTTTTACCAACAAATAGTGGGATTAACCGTCACTTTATAATGCCTCCATGACTAAAAGGGCGAGCATGTTTGTTGGGATGGAGATTTGGAACCCACGATCCTCGAACTGCGAGTCAAGTTCCCTAACTATTTGGCTATGCCGGGCCCTGCCTAAAAGAATTTGAGGGTAGGTTGGTAGAGGTCCTGATGAGTAATAAAATCGAATCTGGTATACGCGCGCCCCACGTTTAGTACTTTTGGCGCACAAAAATATAGCTAATAAAAAGAAGAAGAAAAAAGGTCTCATAGATTAATTTACTCTAATCCTGCTCAAAAGAATTTCAAGTGCGCGGCTATTGAGGATTCATTCTTGTTAAATATTAATTTACTAAAAAGTACCTGTGGAATGCAACTAATTGAATAAAGAAAAGCTAAAGGCCAACATTTCTATCTCAGAATCATCAAAAAACAATAAACATTCATACGTAAACAATTGCTTTTGTATTGGTCTGTAACAATGAGAATGAGACATTTTAATGTAAAAGTTTATACTTTTTATAAAGATTTTAAAAAAGACTCACGATAGCTCATAAATCGTGATTCATTTATGGTATTTTCAAAACGAAACCGAAGAAGAATATTCAGCTATTCGAAAGCGCTCGAGTTTTGGGTCTCGTTTTGAAAATATTACAACTTTTATAGGTGATCCTGTGTGCTAACTACTTAACCTGGATTCGTTTATAGTATCATTAAACTAAGATTTTTGGTGGTTTTTTTTTATCTTTCAGGTAACTTTGCCTATTTGTTTATGATTAATTTCACCCCCCTTTTGTTTTTAGCTTTTTGAGCATATTGCTGAATGTCTTTCAAAATTTCTGGAGGACCATGGAATCAAAGGTCAAAAACTTCCGCTAGGATTTACATTCAGTTTTCCGTGCAAACAAGAAGGCCTAACAAGTGCACGTCTTGTAACTTGGACAAAGGGCTTCAAATGTTCCGGAGTAGAAGGCGAGGATGTGGTGCAACTACTGAGGGAAGCTGTCAACAAACGTGGTGTAAATAACTATTTATCTCTATCGAAACACAGAAGTAATATCTGTAAAAAAAAAGTGAATAAACATATTTTAAACCTCTTGTGAAATAAATAATAGTAAAGTAATTTGTTGTTGGTTTTTACATTTTGTGCAATTGATATTTTTGCAGGACATGGAAATAGATGTTGTTGCAGTTGTTAATGACACCACGGGAACTCTGATGTCTTGTGCTCACAAAAATAAAGAATGCCGCATTGGATTAATCATTGGTAAGTAATTAATTAACAGGAATCTTAATTTACACAGCGACCATCCATACGCTTCTTTTTTTCCAAATTAAAAGAAAAAATTCAAATATATATATATATATATATATATCGCATTACCGTCATTACGGATAATGTCTGTGGTAATAGCACCCAAATGCGTTAGGGATATTCCATCTATCATACAAAATCCAAAAGCCCATGTCAATCTAGTTAGCCGTCATGGAAAATCATAAAAATATCAATAAAATAAGGATACGAAGCTGAGTGCTTACACCCACAACGTCTAAGCTTCTCCTGCCTTTCACTGTCTATAGGGCCCGGCATGGCCAGGTGGTTAGGGTGCTCGACTCGCAATCTGCGGGTCGCGAGTTCGAATCCTCGTCCCACCAAACATGCTCGCCCTTTCAGCCGTGGGGGCGTTATAATATGACGGTCAATCCCACTATTCGTTAGTAAAAAGAGTAGCCCAAGAGTTGGCGGTGGGTGGTGATGACTAGCTGCCTTCCCTCTGGTCTTACACTGCTAAATTAGGGACGGCTAGCGCAGATAGCCCTCGTGTAACTTTGCGCGAAATTCAAAAAACACTGTCTATAGCCAATTGTGGGAAGGCAGTTATCCTTACACAAATATTTTAGAAACTAAATTATCGATTAAGGAAAACATCTTATAAAAATAAATGAAATAAAGAGGGAATTAGTTACTTTAGCTTATAAGTGCATTTGAGTGCTATTGCCACAGACATTATCCATTGTTTTATAGTGCTGATTTAAACGCCTACTAACAATTATTGTAATAATAGTTTGTAAGCTATTCATATATATATACACTCAAATATAAACTTCAAAATGTATTAATACACCTAAATAACCTTGTCGGATCCTGCAAAGTGTATTAATACACCTAAATAACCTTGTCGGATCCTGCAAAGTACTCAAATATTACTCAAATATAAAATGTATTAATACACCTAAATAATCTTCTCGGATCCTGCAAAGTACTCAAATATAAAATTTATTAATACACCTAAATAACCTTGTCGGATCCTGCAAAGCACTCAAATATAAAATGTATTAATACACCTAAATAATCTTCTCGGATCCTGCAAAGTACTCAAATATAAAAAAAATGTATTAATACACCTAAATAACCTTGTCGGATCCTGCAAAGTAATATCTGTCTCTAATTTAATAACACCAGATTTTGTTCAAACTTTGAATTTCTTGAATTTCAAGTTTATCATTTTTAATGCGATTTTTGAGCAGATTTGTTATATCACATACAGTCGAAATTAGTCTTGTCCTCATTAGAAATTTATAATTGAGAAATGCTATTTTGTTACCAAAGGAATTTTGAACTTCTATAATAAACTTTACCTTAAGTTGTTGTGATAAAAAACAGACTGGAACGAATTTGAGTGTGATATTCATCTACAACACGAACTCAGTTGGTAACAAAGAACTCGGATTCAAGAGTAGTAAATGTTAAATAGCTCGGATCAGATAAGTAAAAATGACAAATTCTTTTGCTTTGTGACTTAAGGCCACTGCAGAAGAACACACACATAAACACATACAGTCATACATATATCGTTCAATATTCAGAAAATGGTTATTCTCAGTTCACAATTGCTTCAAGGTTAATACCAAATAGTTATGTTGTTGTAGCATTGCCATTACGTTATTTTAATCACGGCATAGTGGCTCATAGAACGGCCCTGTTTTTTTTTGTTTTTTTTGTATGTTTTTTTTTAAAGTACAAAATTTTAGCTCATAGTTCCGTCAGCTCTTGACCGATTTGAGATCTAATTACAGTTTAGGACTCAGGAGGTCGAACCTCTTCGATTGATATATTTGACCACGCCCAAGGACTCGGAAATTTACTTTAATCCTGCCTAAAATAATTTCAACTTGAGGGTAGGCCTGATGAGTAATAAAATGAAATTGGGTATACGCGCGCCCAACGTTTGGTATTTCTGGCGCACTAAAATATACCTAGTAAAAAGCAAAAAAAAAAGGTCTCATAAGTTAATTTACTCTAATCTTGCCTAAAAGAATTCCAAGTGCCGCGACTATTGAGGATTCCCTCTTGTCTTTTCTTGGATCATCATCATGATGATGCAGTTAACCTTTAACGTATTTGTTAGGTTTCTTCCATGCCATAAACTTGCTATGGTAAAATCCCAATTCTAGCTTCGTCATCTGCAACAACTATATCGCTGCCCGTAAAGAAGTAAGTTACAATTCACTGTGAGTTTTGTTAATAAGCGCTATAAAGCTAGAGAGTCGATGTAGTGATAAACATCATCATCATATACCGTAAAGAAGTAAGTTACAATTCACTGTGAGTTTTGTTAATAAGCGCTATAAAGCTAGAGAGTCGATGTAGTGATAAACATCATCATATACCGTAAAGAAGCAAGTTACAATTCACTGTGAGTTTTGTTAATAAGCGCTATAAAGCTAATTCAATGTGCTGTGGATGTTTGCAGATGCAGACAGTAACTAAACGTAGAGTTTACATATTTATACCGTTTGTCTAGTTTCTTTATAATTATTATCCTACTCGTGGATTTTTCACCATTCTAGAGTGTTAACGCAAAAGAGTTTCGTCAGAACTACAACGACTCTCAAGCTTTCTGCTAATACCAACAGACTGTGAAGCCGAGGCTGTTGCATCGCGCCCCACTGCTATAAAAACGCGCTCCATACTTTGTGGTCGTGGGTGCTCTTATAAAGGCGACGTTCAAAACCCACTATTCGGTCAGTTGGTGATGGGTGCTATTGACTGGCTGCCTTCACTCTGGTTTATTAGTTCAATGTTATGACAACTACGCGTAAATAACCGTTGTGCGGCTTCACGCGAATATCCGAAACAAACCAAACTGTAGTTACACGTATACGCGTGGCCTGATGCAATCCAATGACCTTGCCAGTTGAGCCTTGATTTATAATTACTGCCGTTTCGTCCTATTAAGGAGGACACATGAAAGGCACGGCACGTGAAAGAAGTATTAGTACACTCTACTTATTAAGAGTTCACTATTTTATTTGTGGTATGTCTATCCTTGAGTCTTCACAGATGCTTTGATTTCGATACCTTACTTTCTATATCTTTTCCAGCATATAAATTATTCTGTAGATTTTGAGGGTAGCCATTTCGTGATGTTATCTATTTATTATATGATTATACTTAATGAAACTATATAAATATTGATATCATGTCTGTATACGTTAAATAACTCGATCTTTTTTTTTTTTTAGTTAACAGAAGTGAAATACTTTGAAAATTAACTTGTTGTTTTAAAGTTAAAAATTGCCTTTAAATAATAAAAATAAACACGTCAAAATTAGGGGTTTCACACACACAAAAAGAAAGATTAGTCACATAGCTTTTTAACCCTAAAATCACCACTTATTCTGATGCCGTTCACTACCGGGTAGGATAGAAATATTGCATCACAATAAGCACTTTTATGTTTTTGCCCGTTATAAAACTTTGCACCAAAAAATTGGGGGAAATCACTCGTTTTATGTGCCATATACTGGGAAGAACTCAGCATAATTAGTGGAGTTAAATGTAATATTGAGAGCAGCCTGGTTTAAACTTTATGTTTTACTCATGTGTTATTAAAACCCCTGTAACCCACAACGTCATGGACCCACAAGTAATTTGGTGCATAAATAGTTCATAAACGTTTCCCAAGATCTCAGTTCTCTAGATTATAAACTTGAAACATTGGTAACAAAAATACTAAATTTATAGACGATTATTATAAAAAAAAAAGGTTTAGCCACTTATTCTTATTAATAATGTTATTACAGCAAGATAATACTGTTTGTTGCCTAACTACTGTAAAAGCATTTCTCCAAGAATTCCCTATCAATACACTTGTTGATTGTTGTTGTTCTTCGCTGTAAACAACAACTAGAGCATGCAACCGGTCTTTCAACATATACGTTTATTTCATTAGAGTATAAAGGTTCCTAGGGCTGAAATCTCGGAATAGTGACATAAGGTTCCAAGGTTTATTTGTTTGTTTTAGAGCAAAGTCACGGTGAGCTATCCGTTGTGTCCACCGCGAGGTATCGGACCACGGATTTTAGCGTTGTAAATCCGTAAACTTACCTTTGTCCCACCGGGGGTCAGGTGTAATAATTGTTTTTTATTATAAAACATACTTGAACAAACCTCATTCAATATGGAGGAAAAGTATTGAAAGTTAAAGCAACTTGATTGAACCCATCCATAAACTATAAAACTAGGTATCATTAAACTTTTAATAATTAAGTAACTAAGGTTATGACTTTTAATTAATTATGATACCTAAGCGTAGGTAAAAATGTGCAAATTAATATGGAAGTTTATGGCTATGATATGCTCAAGCTATAACAAATTTAACCTTTCTATCTATAGTACAAATGTACTATATTATTCTTCACTCCTTTTCAGAGCTGGGGTAACACGTTATTGAAGTAACTCGTTACCATAATAATATTACTTTTTTTTTCAATAACAAGGTATTATTACGCGTTATATTTTTGATGGGGATTGGGGGGTTGGTAATATTACAATTACTTTCCACGAAAAAAGGATGGAGTTCGTCTCCTAACACCCTCTCTCTTTATTGTAAATCTACATTAGAGCTCCTTTTCCAAGCCAAAGTAAATTCAGATTTTAAATTCTAATGAACTAGATATTTAATCGTGTTTCAATTACGATTTTCCTTTCGGTATTAGTTTTGTTTATGCCTGGCTAATTGCACGCATGCGCACTGTATAATCAGATTGGCACACATTTTGTAAATTAATTTTGAGACTTATATTTAAAAAGGAAGGAATGGTTACAATAATTTTTTCGCAAGATAAGACAATAGAAAGAAATGTAGCAATTAACATAACGCGCTACTTTTCTACTAATTAATATGTAAGAACATTATATATCCTTTTCCTGTAGAAACGAGGACCTTTTTTTCTGTGATGTTCTCATCGTTGTTCATCTTGAACATCTCTATCCCTTCTATCCATACTTCTTTCTATTGACTATTGTCTCTTTTATCACTTTTTATATTCTCCTTTTTTAGTTATTTTTACAATTCCTCGTATCCCACTCTTTTCTTCGTCTGATTTATTCTTCGTCAGTGTTCTATTCCTTTAAGCTTCTTCATTAACTTCATTCTTCCTATCGTTTGTCTCGTTTTATCTAAGTTCTCATTCTTCTATATTCCTAAGTTTCCATTTTTCTAAATTTAATGATTGAAAAAGTCACGAATTTCACTCAACTAATACAGAATATATCTTTATTGAGCTATATCCACGTAAGTGCCATGCAGATTTAGCATGTAGTTATGACACTCTCGTTTATTGATTGTTTTAAGGTTGTAAGTATGTGTTAATCCTTTTACATAAGTAAAGGCTACATACGGGAACCTTTGTTTATACGTTCGTGTTATTGTATGTGGTTTTTGAAAGATAGTCTTTTCAAACAGGAATTACAGAAACCTGGTGTAGATTTGTGGGATACCCGACTTTATTTGTTTCTTTCGACAGGGCATTCAAGTCGTGTGCTTCCATTGTTCTGTATTTTGATTTCATCTCCTGCTTTCCACTTCTTTGATTCCAACAGCCCGATAACTAAGAAGGAAAATCCTGGTCAGTTTTTGTAACAGAACACTGACTTTGTTAATAAAGGATTTTGTGTTTAAATCTACCCTTGTGTTAGCTTGTTTTAGTCTACTGTTCATACTTAATTTATTCTTCACCCTATACCTGTATTTTGCAGAAACTTTTGTCGTTTCTGCTAAACATCATTGTATCCGAAACCACATTTGTACATCTCAACCTGTTCCTCTTTATTTTTTGTTATGATCTTTTTAGTCTAGATTATTTCTTGCATTTCTTCCAGCCTTCCCAAGATCCCCTTCTGTTCTATATTACTTTCATATAATCTCTTTTAATGAAGTCTACATATATCATTAATATTATGATGAAGCTTGGAGCTAGATTAGGTCTCTTGACAGTATATGACTCTACACTTATGACGCAGTCTCTATTCCGCTCTGGTTGGTGCATTTTTCTAACCAACGTGCTTATAATCGTACGTGCTGGCGAGATTTCAACACTCTCAGAAGACACTAAATAACAACCAAAACAAATAAGAGTATTCCCGCCTAATCAATGTTGTTATTGGATAACACTAAAACGCTCTGTCTGACTGATAAGTTCAGTACATGCTTTTATTATAATTAAATATATCCATATATGTTACTTATAGAGACAGTGTTAACAACTAAAATAAAACATATCAATGAACTTCAACCTCCTTTCTGAGATTTGTAGAGTTTAGTGGGGTAGTGTAACAACACCCAAATCGAAATAATAATGTAGATATTATTTTAAGTAATATTTAATTTCGAATTTATTCGTGAATTTCTTTTCCTCATCTAAACATGAATTTCAGTGAAGAAATGATGAGGTATAAGTCTATTCTATTCTCTGATTCGCTACTCTCACTGCAGCAGACTAGTTTGGTCGAATTCACAGCTCATCAATGCTGTTTGTAAAAGTGAAGCAAATATATAAAGGCCTCATATAGGGATGGAATGTAAGCAGTTTGTTTAGTTTGATGTATAATAAAAGATTATACATCAAAACCAAACAAAATAAGATTTCTAAGATAATCATCGAATTGCAAGTTATATCACAGAACTTCATCGTTTCTATGTTATATCCTAAAAAGATACCAATTAAATTAATTAAAAAAACTCACGATAGGAGCATTTACGGTTCATATGCATTCAAAACACGTGTGTTAGACAAACAGAGTGTTTACAGTTAGCATCAAACTGTCTACAAAATGTGAACTGTCTACACTAGGTAAATGAACTACCAACAGTAAATAAGCGAATTCTTTCCAGTAAGAAAACAATTTGACTATAAGAAGTAAACAAAGTGTCTACTGTAAAAGAACAAACTGTTTAAAGTTGGTAAACTATCTACAGTAAATGAATGAATTGTCTAAAGTAAAGAAACATTATCTATAGTAAAGGAACTAATTAGCTACAACGAGTGAACAAACTCCTTAGTGAAGGAAGTAACTCCCTATAATTTTTAAATTTAGTAATAAACCAGAAAATCCATAGCAGGTAAAGAACACAGCTGTATTTATAAACAAACTAAAAAAAAAAGCAGATAAGTAAAGAAATCAACATTCAGAACTGGAGACATATATTTCAGGAACATCAAAATATAAACAAAGCACATTGGAATTATTAAGACAAGTTCAAGTTGAAGTAGTAACAATAAACACTATGCTATGTTAGACTACCGAAGGAGAAAGACACACGTTTAACTAAAAGTGAACAATCGAATGTGTAGTGATAAAAAAAATATTAATTTATCTAAGATATTTGATGAAAAGTATCTTGGATAAAGTATAATACAGCGTCGTTATTTCTGAGCCACTACTGTCCTATACGGGAAAGTTAGACAAACTTGTAACCTGTTTGTGCTGGTTTCTTTACCCTTGAAGCAAGTTTATCAGACACTCAGCTCTCCAGCACTGTGACGTATTTGCTTTACACCATTCGAAACTTGTTCTTTGAAGTGAGGAACCCAAATTATTTTGGGAACTAGTCATGTTTTGTTTCTGAAATCCATAGTCAGAGGATGTATGTGAAAAGAAAAAAAAATGGCTGAGCCATGTTTTCGTAGCTTATGCCAATGAAACATATCAGCAAGTCATCATTGCAAAATGTGTAAACATTAAGGATGACTTGGAAATTCCGGCTTACTTCCAGTAAAGATTAGTTAAGCCCTCTAGCGGTTTGAACTAATATCAAAAAATCGAAAACCTTTTGTTTACTTGATGTGTTTTAAAAAATAAATTCCCGTAATTCAGGTTAAGGAAGTGTAATTTCCTGATTCTGGGTAACTGGAATTTATTGTTAAGCATACATGGTCTTAACTCTTGTAGAAATAGGAGCCCGAGGTTACTCAACCTCTAGGGATATTGTTGCGTCATTAGAAGCAAGTGGAACTACCCTTTATTGGCCCCATCATAAAATCAGATGTCACATTCACAAATACAGTATCACGTGTATGTATATAAAGCTAACGAAGAGCGAGAATAGTGTAAAAGAGCATTTTATTACGTTTAACAACCCAATATATATACTGTGTTCGGAGCATTATCCTGCCAATCCAGATATCGAAGAGATCATGAGGATAAGTAGAAAGGTAAGAAGACTTTAGATACATGTCAACTTCCTCGTGTTTCTTTTAAGTCATATTAAATCTTGATCAACCGGGATCTTTACATACTCTTAAAGAGTGTGTGTTTTCTTAAAGTCACATCAGGCTATCTGCTGTGTCCACCTAGGGGAAATCGGACCCCTAATTTTAGCATCGTAAGTCCGAAGACTTACCGCTGTCCCAGTATTTCAAGAACAACTTTCTAATTTGATACCTTTTTATTAGCCGTTGAAAAAAACACGCACACAAAATATGAGATGTTTGGACAGTATATTACAAGCAGTTGCTTCTGCATACCTTTTGTCTAGTTAACCTAAAAAAGAAAACTGGTACGAAAGTATATATCATCCTGACATTCTAAAGAAGTCGTTATATGTTCTAAAACTTGTAGAGCAACACATTTCATCGTGCGGGAAGCTTTCTGAGTAATACGTACGTCTTGCTGGAGACGACACCGAGTAGAAATTGCAATATTATGTAATTTAATTCAGGAATTGCTGTTTGGATTTAAATGTTTTTACTCGGAAAGCTTGAGAAAGTGTGGCTTCTAAGTAAATACGTTATTTAGTTTTCGAACACAATTTAATTATTATTATTATTATTATTTTGTATATATGTTCCTTCAGACTAGCAGTTTGATTTCCCATGAACTTGTCTACTTCCTTATGTTGAGTGCTAAGTTATAAACTTATACTGAAAGAAATGAACGTTAGTAGTTTCAAAACGTTTCCTTGAACTCGTTTAACACTGAATTATTCAGTTTGGTTCATTTAATGCTGAAACATCTTTATCGAATTTGTTGATTTCGAAAAATCTGAAACCTAAACGTGCAAAAGAGTGTGAGAAAAAGTGTTTAAGAAACAATTTATAAAAGTGAAAACATATTTTTACCATGTAGCAAAGGAAATCATTAAAATTGATATTAATGAAATACGATCTATAATATTAAATTATGCATGGAAGCACACTATGCTAATGTAATAATAAACTGACAAACAACGATTTATAAGATAATGAAGTTGTTGTTGTTGTTTTGTTTTTTTAGGGGAACATGCTACATGTTCGACAGACCAATGTTTTATCGAAACATGTAATATGTTTCCTCAAGAAAAAACAACAACAACAACACTTCATTATCCTTATAAATCGTTGTTTGTCAGTTTATTACTATAATATTAACAACTACCTGGCGATAAGCAACCAATATTTCAAAAACAAACCCATAAAAAAAACACAAAACACTTTCGTTTCTGTAGGCGTCCCACCACATTTCTATTATCAACTGCTAAATTAGGGACGACTAGCGCAGATAGCCCTCGTGTAGCTTTTGCGCGAAATTCAAAAACAAACAATCTATTATCAACATTTTCTTGACTAATAAGAAAGAAAACTGAGATTTCACTTAAAAACATAAACCTGTTCTTTATTTTCTGTTTAATTTTTCGCTCTTATCATTCTGTCAATAATAGTATGGTAATAATATGGGGTAAAGGGTGTTTTGATTTATTTTGTTTATATATTACACTGGCATAGAAAATGTGCGTAATTTGTCAGTCTCTAATAATATGTATGTTTTGTTAAGACAGACTGATACTACTCTATTTATAAGAGTATGGTTCGGTTATATGGTTCGGTTTTTATCTGGTTAGGTGTTTAGAAGCTTGACTAACTATATATCCATGCTAATAAACTTTACACGGATTATATAATTATATATTACACGTTATGAAAGCACTGACAGCAAATTATTTCATATTTGTTGTTCCAGATCGAGGCCATCACACGTGAACTCGTGCTTTTCAATGATCAGCTTGAAAAAATTTCATCTTTGCTTTTGCATGAGTTCAACCAGGGGCTGGGAAAAGATACTCACTTTGAAGCATCTGTAAAGATGTTTCCAACTTACGTCCGGGACGTTCCTAACGGATCTGGTAAGTAACGTCCGATTATACTTACACTTCTTGAACTAAACTAATAGCTGAGGTAACAAATATCAGAACACAATTCAAGCTGTGTGCAGGATTTGTCTTTTATTTAATAGTGTAGATAAATGTTTCAACACCGAATAATATAGTGTTTAATGGTATTTTTTTCCCCTTACAAAGATAACTGCACATTCTGTAATTCACAATAGTGTAATTAGATCATTCCGACAATGATGTTACATCCTGTTGTAAAGCAGCTAAATCTTTCAGGTGTCCAACAGTTGTATCATATTTTCTTTATATTTCATTGTTAGATTTCACAGTGGTTGTGCAATTTGTTGACGTCCAGTGGTCATGAGGTTGAAATTATCAGTGAAAATTACACCATTGCAACTTTTCCTCTCAACGAAAGCTGAATATTATAATTCCACTAGAATCTATATTCAGTTTATAACCTTCTTTTGTTAAATAAAAAGTACAACAAATCATATTTTTTCAAAAAAAGTTTTTGGCACGTGTGTAATGTTCAATCTTAAAAAAAACTAAATTTTTTAAAAAAACAACGATTATTTTATACACAGTTTCATCGGGTTTTTTTACCACTTTTTTATCCTGTACAGTAAGTTATTGTATTTTAGTAATTTGGAGACTGGAAATAATCTCATTTTTGTAGGATTGCGTATAAAATAATCGTTGTTTTTTTGAAAAGTTTGAGTTTTTAAAATCATGTTTTGTTGTATTTACACAAACACATGTTTTGTTTAATTTTGTCAACAACATCAGCATTTTAATGATTAATTTTAGTTATTTATGCATAGCTCTAATCTCCTGACTCTGCAAGCGAGTAGATAAAAGCCCTTTATTCAACATTGGTTGTTGTGCAACTGTGTCTGTAACAAAAGTATATAAAACAATGTACTGGAAAATTATATGAATTTATTGTGACATTAAATATGAAATTGGAATTTTTGTATTATTTTATGTCAAAACAAACAAACTCAAATTCTGTCAATATTACAGAACATAACTCTTGTCTGGTTATTTACTTGACCATTTAACTTTATTGTCTGTATCTAACTCTATCTCTTTTGTCTACTTCTGACCTTTAAAAAATTCACCATTTAAAACGTCCATCTAGTATACGAACTAATAAATAATTATCTGCGTAAATACACATACTGTAGGGAGAAGAAGAGCTGTAACTTTGTAAACTTGACAGGTCCAATTTGACACTGATGTTTCAAAACAACAAGACGTAAAGACACAAATCGCTTGTGCAGTGTGTGTGTATGAAAGAATGATCATTGTAGCGTGTAAATTGTCAGAGTTTTGAACTTCCGAATCCTCAGCTTCCCCTTGTTGTTTTATTTATTTTATTTTTTTGTTAATTAATCGAAGCAAGACCTGCAAGCAGAATTCACAGTTTATGATCGAGCTAAGTAAGGTCAACACCAAATATGTAAAAGTTTCAACTAAATGTTATATTTACTAGTTTGAGTTTACTGAAGAAAAGCACAGTGTGGTTGCTCAAATAGCTTTCAAATCAACATACAAGCCTGTGAGTTCTCAGAGAGTCGATGTAGTGATAAACATCATCATATACCGTAAAGAAGTAAGTTACAATTCACTGTGAGTTTTGTTAATAAGCGCTATAAAGCTAGAGAGTCGATGTAGTGATAAACATCATCATATACAGCACCAAAGTTGGCTTTCTCTCATTCTTTATATCTTTCTGGTTTTTGTTGTTGTTGTTGTTAGACCAACTGTTTTCAATCAAGAGAATTTATAAGAAAACACTTGCTATTTCACAATCTGCTGATTATAAGTGATAAATGTTTTTCACGGGTGACACGTTTAATTGCAAGGGAGAGTGGAAAAACACAAAAACAAAACACTACAACCGCTGAGACTTCGTAGAATGTGACACAATACATGTAAAAGTAGACTGATATGTATGATTTGTTCAAAGAAGTTCGAATAAACAAGCTCTTTTTCAATGCCAAACTCGTTCTTTTATTTGCTTTCAATCAAAACATTTGAGAAACTTTAGCTTCATTAATTATTTTTTCGCAAACAGTGTCTGTTGATCGAGGCATCCATTTTGTTAATTAATTTCCATTGTTATCACCATAAAAAACAGGCTTTAAACGTCTGCGCGTATACCATGAATATTTTAACGAACAACTTACCAATTACACAAGGATATGTATTTTGAACAAAATATCGGTTCTAGAAGGTGCTGTGACTTATATTTTTGTATTTATGACAATGCTACCAAAGTTATCTGCTGTTGTCCCTAATTTTGAATTACCCATTAGCCAGCAGCACCTAGCCATCTACCAACCACGCTAAGAGATTGACTGTCACTCGTATAGCGCGTTCACAGCTTAAAGTATGAGGATTGTTTGTTTTTTGAATTTCGCGCAAAGCTACACG